TATATATATATATATTCCCTTTTATATTGGTTTAAGTGGAAAAAGGGAAGATAATGAAGCTCACTCTTATTTTGATCTTCACTATTTTTGTTGGATTTACTTGTCTCCTTTCATTATCATAAGATTTCTCCACTGTCTTTTACTCCTTGAACCCATACATCACGGGAACATGTCTTCAACAACGTCAATGTAGGGTGATTTGCACAAAATAAGACATTTCGGTGTCATTATTAATTTTTTTGACCAAATAAGACACTTCGGTGCCATTATTAATTTTTTGACCAAATAGGACACTTCGGTGCAAATTGAAAAGAGCGCACTAGAAATCTAGAATGTGAGAACGAACAAAAGCTATCAAATAAATGTAAGTACTCAAATGTAAGCGTTTTCAACTAAATGTTCCCTATTCTTTTGGACTATCACTGTCTAAATCATTTTTTGGAAGAGTGAAACTTCCATCCACAGAAAACAAGAAAAAAAGAAAAGAAAAAAAAAGAGCTACAAAGTTGGGAAATTCAACCAAAAGAGAGCAAAATGAGAGTGCAGTAAAACTGCAAAATACAACGCTTACAAGAAACTCTTCAGGGGCTATGGCGTGCTGTGAATCAATCACAACAAAACTGAAACCATCTCATCCTTTAAACTGTTTTTGCCTTAGGAGCCTTCTTCTTTGTGGATCGCCTGGGCATAGAGTTCTTCATGCCGATAAAGAAGAGCAGCGCGCCAAGGAGTGCCAAGCTCTGTGAAAAAATAGTGCAAAATACACAACTTAATAAAACCTTGCAAAGGTTCACTCCAGAAATAGCAATTTGGTAATGAATGCAAGAAATAAAGATCTAAAGAGACATTCATATTGGCTTACCTGAGTAAACTTGACAAAAAGTTGAGCAAACTCTTTCTTGTCAACATCATAGTTGTAGAAGTCATATACGATGGGAGTAGCAATGGACTGATGCAAAAGCTTCATTGACGAAAACCAAGATCAAGATGCAGTCAGCAGGATGAAGCGAGCAAGTTCGAGAAAAATTCACTTATTTTAATAAAAGCAACTTCGACGAATAATTTGAAGAAATAGAAGATACACACCAGGATGTAAGCTCCAAGAGAGCTACCAAAGACAAAAAGAAGGCTTCCAAGACCCTTCATAACTAACGCCCCCAACACTAGATGTTTCATCTGTGAATGACATATCTTAAGTTAGACAGAACAAAGGAGACAATTGTTACAACCAAATTCAATTAAGCAAAGCCGAATTGTTACCTCTACATGTGGTACTTGAAATCCAGTGTGTGTCGTCACATGCTTTGAGAAAACATTGAACTTAGGACTTAAAGCCTTTGCTGCTGACCCACCGTCAACCCCAAATTCGCTGAATCTATGAACAGCTATTGTATGAGGCATGTATGCAATTAAGAATTAAAGAATTCATAATATAACTTTTTTACCATCCCTAACATCTTTAATTAATATTCCCCTACGTCTTAAAACAAAAGTATGAAATAAAAAGCAGGCAAATACAGGCAAATTTTGGGTACATATGTCAGCGGGTAGATACTAGATACAACTCCAATATTGCTCTATAAACAAGCCTACAGCTTTGCTCGATGGAAAAGTATCCAAATCTATCAATTTATATCTTCCCAGAAGCATTTCAGCAAATTCCTGGTGAATGAGCAGCATGATTGAACCTGATTATCATCACAAGTATGAATTTATCGAACACAACTTGCTGGCTAATATAACTGTGTGGCATTGCAGTGTTAAGTTCCGCACCTTGGTACTTATTCCCCCCAAACTAACAGCTTCCATTACATGGACATGTCCCAGGTACATAAAAAAAATAAAGATAAACTAGAAAGTTTATGTTGAGTTTCTAACAAGATCTGAAACTGACTTCTGTATGTTTCGTGTGAAAAGACTTCACACATAGCAGTTCAGCTCAAGATCTGTATTACAACATAACACAAGCCACAGACGAGGTTGAACTGTTAACTCCGAGAAGAAAAATGTTACTACCCCCAATGTCATTCTAAATGTTGTATTAGCAAAATAAAATTGATCCAAAGTGTCGCTTTAGAAAACCACGAAGACATTAATTTTTTTCCCTTACCTACCCTTTCTCCAATAAATGATTTTCAAACATGTCTCTCAACAGTTATTACTCATTATAAGGAGATATAATAAAGGTAACTTACTCAAACAACCCTTATGATTAATGATATTAAATGATTTATCAATAATTGGCAAATGTATTAAGAAAATCATTTAATAGCATTAATCATAATGAATATTTGACTAAATTACCCTTATCAATAAAGGTGGAAGTAGAAAAGAAAATAATGCCTTCTTGTTCTTGTAAAATAACAAATATTTTGGAACAATTTTTAGTACAAATATCAGGCACCTCTTACGAACTATAGATAACAAATTTTGATCGGTGTTTACAATCAAAAAATTTACTAGTCAATGTTTCTTTTTTTAAGGTAAAACTTTTCAAGGTAATTTTCCACTGGCTATGCTAATCTTAAGACAAATTCACTTCCAAACAATAGCTTTTGTAGCTCTAGCAAACTAATAGAACAGTTATTGTTATATCTCAACTAATACTGCACACAGCGAGGTATCATAAAAATAGCCTTCTGTAAAAGAAATATAAAAGTAGTATTCAATTATATATATTGACAATGCCAATATGTTTTATACTTAGTGTAATTTAACTTGTGATAGTAGGTTACTTAAGATTTTTACCAAGTTAACATTTAATGCCTAGCAAAGAAGTTTACCTAAGATTACCTGATGGTACTTAACTTTATTATTAAAGTAAATAATAAGTATTAGCTAGAATAATTGCATACTAAACATTTAGCTAATCAAAACCAAATGATCAAATTCTAAAATTTACATGTAATTACCTAATAAGTGACTTGATTGTGCAAATATTTTTTACACCGTTAGTGCATAGAACTTAAATTCTATATAAGTAAACCTACCTCTTCAAATAGATCGACACATAGATAGCAACGAACAAACGCAATCATTCAACCAAACGTGCTTAACTTCACTACCAAAGTAACTACTAGTAAGCTATGTTACTCGAACTCTTCGAAAATGTTGTTGGGTGCGTGTTGGATACTCCAAATTTAGTGCATTTTTTGGAGGATCCAACACGGCCGCGGCATCACTTTTGGAGAGTCCGAGTATCATAGCTAGTAAGTATAAGCTAAAACAATTAAACAATTAGCTCATCAAAAGCCATATGAACAAATTCTAAAGAGCATAAATTCTATGCACTGACGGTGTAAAAAATATTTATACAATCAAGTCACTTATTAGATAATTACAAGTAATCTCTTGATAAGCGCTAATTCATAATATGGTAAAAATGGTAACCAGCATGCTATCACGCGTTCTATAGCTGACAGTGTAAAAACATTTTACACAATCAGGTAAATTATTAGGTAACTACAAGTAACTCTTGATAAATACTACTTCATCCATCCCAATTTGTTTGATACAACTCGAATTTCAAAGAGTCAAAAGGAGTTCTATTTATCACGATTTTTTCATATACCTTTTAAATATTTTAAATTGTTAATTATTGTAACTTATAGTACTTTTTTATGTAATTTCCAAATATGTAAATTTTATTTCACAAAAAATAAAAATTCTACATCCAAATTCATAGTCAAATTTGAGAAGTTTGATTCTCAAAATCTGAAATGTATCAAACAATTTGGGATAGGAGGAGTAATTAGTAATCCGATAAAAATGGTGATAATGTAAAAAAAAATTATGTCATCAGTGTATATAACTTAAATACCTAAACCTTCAGTTTCAATTCTAGTCAACTAGTTCATCTAAATCCTACTAGATCCAGCTCCTCATAAACTAATTCTAACTCAGGACAGAACCCTAGCTAACTAAAAAATACAATTAGTTATATAACAAACTTAAAATATAGCAATAAATAACTCAATGCAAGTTAATAATAAAACTTCAGTTCCAATTCTAGTCTACTAGTTCATCTAAATTGCACTAGATCCAATTCATCTTATACTAGTTCTAACCAAGGAGAACCACATAGCAAATTAAAACATAACGATAAATAACTCAATGCAAGTTAATAATACCAGATAAAGTTGTATAAATACTGAAACTACATAAATAACACCAAAAAAAAAGTGAAAAACAGAGTAGATCTGAACTAAGCTAATGATGAAGTTTCTTACTCTTGATAAGCGGAGAGAACGAAGACTGATACAAAGAGAATCCTCCCTGTGAATGATAAGAACGCCATTACTGTACTGACGGCTTTCTCTCTCTAGAAAACAAAGACTTTTAGAGATTCAAAAAGGGGAGAGAAACCAAGGGACTTCTACTGCATTAGCAGTTTGATTTATTTATTTATAGGTGAAATAACAGTACAGTTCATAAAAAGACATAAAATTAATGTCTTTTATATTTGTTTTTAAAAATTTGGCTGTTTGATTTATTTTGTAATTTCCCTCCAATACCGCGCTATAAGTATTTGATATTCAGATTGCAAACGCGCGCGAGTAGAATAATAGTATGTACCCGTTGAAGGGACGACTAATCGAAGGGGACACGTTTTACGACCAATAGCATTTGGTCAAGTGATGTATAATTTCAGTGACGTGGCAAATGGAAAGAGCGAGTGTTATGCAACTGCAATTGCAAGATGTATGAGCCTCTAGTATTATTTTTTCTTATTAGAAAATTTTTACAAAAGAAAAAGGAATTTTGCTGTGACGTGCCAATGGCGTTCCTCGTTATTTCAAACCGAAATCTAACAAGTGTGATTTGGGGGAGTAATATGTACGCTGATACTTTATGAAGGTAGAGAGATTGTTTCTAATAGATTTTCGATTCGAAAATAGTAGAAAAAAGCAATAATCAAATAATAACAAGAATAATGTAAAAGGCAGCGGAAGCAAATGGCAAAACATATTTTTTGGATTCGAACTTGATGAATGAAATTTTTTTTAATAGGAAACGATTTCTCTTTTAGTAAACTTTATGCGTCGTGATCAGTGGCAGAGCCACGTTATAGGAAGGGGTGTCTTCGCGGAAAAAATATATTGTGTAGGTAGATAAAAAAATAAATTATATGTATATACACTATGTATTTACTCCCCTTAACTTTCTGATTGTTTACTTTTATATATTTTAACACCTCTTAACGAAAATTCTGACTCCACCGCTAATGGTGATACTCAAAGTTCAAAGGCAATTACCGAACATCAAATGAGAAACAAAAGGAAATATGAGAGTTCTTCTCACTTCTAGACGATAATTCTAATCCAAATTTTCCTTACGATTATGCTTCCATAATATTTGGTATATTGATGTTTTGGGCGAAACCTTTAGAGTTCTTACTAGGAATTTCAAACTCTATATAATTACCAATCAATAACAAGGAAAAGAAGGATAAGGTGTTTGGAAGTTTACATCAATTGTGGTATAAATTACACAAATTATTACCTTTGTCACTTGATAAAGAAAAAAATAGTACTAGTGGGCTTTCAATATAAAGACTTTTTATGTCATAATTTAACTTAATTCTTTTCTAAGGAAAAGTCTTAAGCGGGTGTTATGGATCCCCAATCTCTTTAGAAATTTTATATTCTACTTCCTGTTATAAGAAAAATCAAATTATGATGGATGTCTACTTTTTCTCCATAATCTTCTCAAATGTTTAATGACATATTTCTATGTTTAATGACATATTTTTCTTCACTTTTCATACATATATAAAGGTCTTGTAATAGATAAGAAAATACACACAATTGAAGAAGAAAATCTCTTCCTTCTCTCTGTCTCTATTCCTTGTTCATGTTTTACTAAATTGTTTTTATTTTATAACACGCTATCAACACGAATTGCTCATTTTATGATCTTCTACGTCAAGACTATGTAAATTATAAGCAGACAATGAG